ACCAACCAGCCCGCAAGAATAGCAACTCCTAAAGAAGGGGTCATTTCTTGTGTTGCACAATTTCTTGGGACCACAACAGTTGGATTTTCCACCCCAGGCCCTGTACCGCATGTCCCGTCTTCCCAATTTCCCCTGTGGGTCCGGTAGAAGGGATTAGGATGGACCTGCTTTAGCCTTTATATGTATGCATTGGATTCTGCACCCGCATAGTGCAATTCTTTCTCAGCGACACAGCCGCGCAATTCTTCTGCCATCGTGTGGCGCCTCACGACGCAATTCTGTCAAGGCTGTGACAGCTGGATTTTCCACTCACACCCCTGCATCCCACATTCCCGATTTTCCCCATGGGTACCACGGGGTTAGCTAGGATGGGCCCACTTTTGCATTTATATACCCTATCCACTGGATATATACAGAATGAAAATGCCCACACCTCGGACGAGCGCAAAAAAAGGCAAGCGAGACACCATAATACCTCATCTGGGCTCGCAAGTACAATGAGCAGGAAGAAGACAAGGTCAACCATTTGCTGCTGCACCTTAACGTCATGTAGCATCATCTGAGGCTGGAAATGCACCACAGTACACGAGGGAGGGAGGCACCATCAGTTCAATGTTTCGATAATAAGAACATGGTACAAAGTATTAATTACATCACATAGCCATGCACAGGAAGGGCACTTATGCAACAAATGTGGAAAGATAGCTGACTTGTGATATACAAACGCAAGAGGAAGGCAAATGCACAACGGAACAAATTCTCTTTCTTTTTCTTCTTTTTACTTTTCCACCTTCCAGTTTCTGCTTCCTAAGCCCGCCTCAGGTGCAAGTTTTCCCACCTGTGTGTGGTTGTGATGGAAGTGCCCACACTCCCGTCTACCGTACACAGGGTAATTCAGGATCTAAACGTAGACCATATGGAGAAACTAAAAGACGTGGTGAGGGGCAAAGAAGTCACATAAAGGCAGACAAAAAGGGGGATGGTGATAATGAGAATGCTCTCCCATGGAAGTTGCCAAACGTTAAGAAGCCTTCTGACGTCCAAGGTAGAGGAAAGACCTAGTGATCTACCACCAGATCAATATGGTGGTAAAACACGAGCAGATTAGTGAAAGGATGTCACATTGCAGACACCGGAGTCCCGGTTCAAGGGTCCAAAATTGTCCCAGTCCCAGTTGGGCTCAGTCCCAGATGGTCCCAGTCCCACCTGTCCCAGTTGGTGAGTCCCAGGTAGGGTCGTTAGGGTCCTTAGGTCCGATGTCGGGCCGCTACCAAAAAGGCAGACGGGTAAAGTCCAACCGGTACCTGACAGGAAGAGTCCAGGCCCAAAGTCCATTTTTGCAGCAGCGTCCCAAGAAAACTCCAGGAGGAACCAGAGGCCACGGGCGACCGGTACCGGTCAGAAGCAAACGAAGGTCAAGTTAAGCAATGATTAATAGCTGCTACAGTGCAGCTCGCATCATTCATTGTCCTGTGTGAGTTGCAGAAGCGCTGCTGGTTGCTTGTGTGAACTCACAGCTTGCGCAGTGGGCCAGAGGGCCTGACTGGCGGCACACCAGTTAGGGTTGAGGAAGTAGAAGGTGGCCATAGCTTCCGTAGCTGAAGTCGCAGTTGAAGTAGAGCGGATGTATCCAGGGTTACGATCCAAGTATCCAGGGTTACGATCCAAGTAGTAGCAGATAGGGAGCGAGAGAGAGACATAGAGAGAGACAGGAGAGAGAGCCAGAGCGATACAAGTATTGAGAGAGCAACCAGAGAGAGAAGTGAGAGAAAGAGGTAGTCGCAGGGGAGGATACTTGGGAACCTACCTGATTGAAGAAGTTGCATGCACTGATGAGCGCTGGTTATCTGAACTCTGAATTTGTACGATATGAGTATTCATTAAGTTTCTGAACTGTGCTGATTTTGGGTGTTCCATATCTGGATCTCTACACTATTAAAATCGCTAAGGCAACCAATCTCTGATCCGGGCCGTCGTCGTTCCTACTGGCCCACGGCCAGGATCATCCAAAACATGTAATAAATCTGAAATCCCGGCCGTCGGGTCCTACCGGATCGACGGGACGTACCGGCACGCGATCTTAAGATCTTAAGACAGCGCGTCAATCCAGGCCGTTGGCCCGGTACCTTGGGCCCAACGGCCCGGATTATTTGCCTGTTTGAGAAGCCCACGGTACCTACCGATGGTTTCTTGGCGCGGTACCTACCGGTGGGGTTGTGTTCAGGCAAACGGGTTCCCGTAGGCTACCCGTGATGTAACTACTTTTCGGTGGCGGCGTGTACTGTTTTTGGGTGGGGGCGTGCCTTTTTGGTGGCGGCATGGGCAAATTCTACGGCCTGGGAAAGACCCACCCGTATGCTACTCTACACTGTACTATAGACTTCTAATTTCCTATCCTTATGCTACTACACTCGACTTAACTCTACACTAGACTACCACGCTCGACTTTGACTTGGCATTTGGATACACACACACAGACACACGACATCCGGGCAGACTGTCGGGGTTCCACCTCCTGATGGGTCGGTGGAAGTCCGGCGAAACAGCCTCGCTTAGTCATGCCCACGCACACAGTCGCAAGAGAGAGAGAGAGAGAGAGAGAGAGAGAGAGAGAGAGAGAGAGAGAGAGAGAGAGAGAGAGAGAGAGAGAGAGAGAG